CTACACTAGTAGTGACTGATGATGATGAACTTTACTACAGTATATAGCTCTACTCAGTTACAATCAGCAGTCAGAAACCAAGTGTGATTGAAGTTGTGAATGTAAAGTCAAAATGTAACTGGATGCTAAGTTCTAAAAAGCTGCCATGTAAGGAGTGTATTGTAAGAAAATATGAAAAAGCTTCATTGCTTCAACAAACTGAGAGCATGCTGCTTCATCAGCATCCACCTGTATGGGCTGAATGCGCACGACAATGCAGTAGCACACTGACAGCTCAGGAAATAGTTTCTCATCCAGACTTAATGCCAGAGCAGTCTCCTCAGGTTTATAAACGCACAGCCAGGCTTGCAGAGTAACAGATCACAGTCACATAATCAGGATACGAAAACAAAAAGGTAACTGAAATACATTACAGTTACAAAAATAAAGACTACAGTTACTTTTAGTAAAATGGCTAAAAAAAACAAAAAAATAAAGAATGAAACCAGCTAATCTTAATGTGCGTGGCTGCCTGAATTCTTTCTCATGAAAAGCAAGTTTTACTTTAAAAATTATTCTGAGCAGATGACACATTCTCAGACTAAAAATCCTGGTTTTCATCAAAAGTAATGGAAAGTTATCAAGTTACGTTATTTTAATACTGTGATACTTGGATTAGGTTACTGACTACATGTTTAACAGGTAATTAGTAATTGTATACACTATAATATAGTTAGTGATACCATGATATGGTAAAAACATCCTATTGCAATTATTTTGACAGATATTGCAATATGATCCACAGTTTGTGTGTGAATGATCATTTTAAAGATACATTTTCACTGAAAAAGATAAATAACATGATAATGTGACATTTTTGGGGGACAGTACCAAACATGTTTCATTTTATCTGCAGATCAAGATCTGTAGTCTATGGTATCTGTTAGGATCTACAGTACTTCATTATAATGTTGTTCTGCCACACATTTTACCTTTTGCAGCTTCTGTGATTTGCATATTGCACTTGGCCATATTGTGATTTTGATAATATTCCAATTACTTGTGCAGCCCTAGTAATTACATTGGATTACAGATTTAAAGTACCCCTCCCAACCCTGTGCACAGCTACATGAGACTGAGGGACCAATGTACAACAGAGTATAAGAACAAAATGCCAATTAGTCAGTTATGAATTCTATATATACTATATAGCCTAGTTATATATAGTTTTTTGTTTGTTTGTATGTATCACTTAAAACTTAAAACTGCTTTTCCACTTTATTGTATATAGTGTATATATTTTTTATATTCTAGATTTTTATTATATTTTTATCATATTTTTATTGTATTATATTTGTACCCTTTTTCTGCTCTTTGCACTACATTTTCCCTGTGCTGCCAAATTTGAATTTCTCAAATGAGGAATCAGTAAAGGAACATCTTAATCTTAAAAAACATTTGTTGACTCACCTCTATTAAAAAAAAGCACAGGAGCTTTACAAGTTTAACTATACCTTTCAGATTTTTGGTCCATAGCGCCATTTGGTGGTGAAGAGCATCTATTGCATCTTTGACACCACAGTTTCACTAAAGCAGTGGTTCTCAAACTAAGCAACTAACAGAAAGGGATCCACTTGGCAAAAGCATGTGAAATTGACTCATGTAAGACGTAGAAACAACTTCCTTGAAAGGATGTTATGCCCGGGTTGGACCGTAAAACCAGAATGGTTCTGAATCATCTATCAAACCACCATGAACTGACAGCAAATTAGATAATGAGGACCTCAAAAAGCCAGTCCGAAATATTCCAACTAAAGAAAATCCTTTTGACTGCTTGCAAAAGTTCAACAGGAGAGAACAGGGTGCGAACTACAGGGAAGCATGAGACATGAGCTCCCCTGAAAACATGACTTGTAAAATTTTGGGGGTTCTCTAAAATATTGAGAATATAACATTTTTTTGCCATCCATTTCTTTTTTTTCTATATCTTAATTATCATGGATTATATGTGAACGTAGGCTACTATTGATGTATGATTTGTGCCTGATGGAGATTCATCATTAATTCACTTTAATAAAGATAATGCTATTCTTGCCATCACCACTGAAGCGTAGCTGCACAATATCATTAACCTCAGATCACAAAATATCAGAAAATATTCATAAAATAAAGTTTCCTAGTCCGACTCAGTTTGTTGAATCGCCATTATTCAATTAATC